TTCCTATTTCCTATAAAATAACTGGCTTGTGAACCTATTGTTAATTGTTATATTATAAAGTATGGAAAACGAGCTAATGTTAATGAACCGAATGGAGACATCATAGATGATGCAGCGGTTGGCGAGGAAAATAGAATGAGACATAGACGAGAAAATCCTTTTGAAATACAGTTTTTTATTCAAGAAATTATTCAGGTTAACCAAACCTCTTCTTATAGAAATTTAAGATCCTTTTCTAGAAGCTCCAACAAGAATATCAGCTTTGTAAAGCTTTTTGTACAAGAATCTGAAAATCGTCCTTTTCTCAATTCGTCATCATTCACAACTTGAATTAGATGTTCTTTTTGCTTCATGGTTGCATGTCCACAATATTTCTTAGACATCTCTTTCAACTGTTGAATTTACACGGCAAAATAGCAATAGTTTATGTTTAAATTTTTCGAAAACAAATTGCTGTGGTCGCCGGTCAGTTGACACGTTGACTACATAAAAGTAAGGTTAAGAATTGTAGGCGTTTTCAATTTTCCTTAGCAATTTTCCTTCTAAAAAGGCTATATTTCGACGTTGCCAAAGTGTTATTTTATATTCACCTCAAGTAAATTCACCCACGACTCAAGAATACAAAACGAGTGAGGCAGGTGAAAATTAGGTGGTGAAATTTTTCACCGGGTGAATATTTTCACCACTTTCAAGAATTGGCCCCCTGGGAAGATTTCTCAAAGCTCAGCCACATCTGTGGGGTTCATGAATAATGCATGAGGTCCTATTCACATCCCTTAAAAAATGTTTATAATTATGAGAGTGAGAGTGAGACAACCGATTAGAAATCTTGGAAGCAATTGAGCAGTAATAAGTATTAAGCTTGTTGGATGATAAAAATGATAAACCAGGGATACTAGAGCCAGTCATATTGGAGTTGTATTCGCCTCTCAATTCATTGACATTTCGCCAGGCTTCCCTCTGACTATTGTCACTTTCCGAAAGCTAGTTACTATAATACACTTGCCAGTTCAATAATTTGTTTATGTATCTATACAGGGTGTCAATTTGAAAACTTCCCACCCCTATTATCGCGAAGTAGAAAAATTTTCGTAAAAATCCCTGAAACACGTCAACTATAATTTGAAGGGGGATGAGTTTTTATGCAAAATTCTCCTTCCCTCTTTCAACCCCCTTGCCCCCAGAGCCACCCTCTAGCAAATTTTAAATGGGAAGGGGGGTAAGGTGATACCGAGAGTGATACATCATTTTGGAGGGTTTTTAATTCCATACATCCGTACAAAATTTTAATCCCCAAGCTCAACTGTTTTGGAAATATTGACTGTTGAAAAATGACTTTTTTGCATCTCTGACAGGCTGTAAAACCTAAATGATTAATTTTAGAGGAAAACTGATCTTACATTCTCATCTTAGATTTTTAGAAACTATCATTTGACAGCAACTTCGAATTTAATCCATGATCAAAAATTCCGGTTGAAAATTTAATCTCCGGTTAAATTCAAAAATGTTGTCAAATGATACTTTATGAAAATCTAAGATAAGAATGTAAGATCGGTTGTCCTCTAAAATTAACCGTTTAGGGTTTAGGCTCGGGTTTAGTTACTAACAAAAAATTCTGTTATATACGAGAGTATAAAGATTCTTAATAAGTTACCTCATGAAATAAAAAGTATTCATGAGCTTAAAATATTTCGAGAACAACTTAATAGTTATTTATGATATAAGTGCTAAAAGTGACATTTTATTTTGTGAAAAGGGAAGTTTGGGACACGACGCCAAAGGCGGAGTTTTCCATCCCTTTGAACAAAATAAAATCACTTTTAGCACGAATATCATACACTATTTTTTCTACAAACGCACTAAAAGTGATTACTTTTAGCACTAGAGCTAAAAGTAATCACTTTTAACACCGGTGTCATAAAATGGCATTTTAGACACTGACAGCATCCATTAAAAATGACACTTTTAGTGACGTTTGTAGAAAAAATATATTTGATTCGAAAGGTGTTTTATAGTCTCCAGGAATTTTATGATTCATCCTAATTAGTCCTAAATTTTGTTAGTTTGTGATTATATTTGTTAATTTTATGATTTGTTTTATATTTATATTGGTTCATATTCTTGTGATATTTTATTATTTTTGTTATTTTAGTTGTGTCTGTCCGTGGCATTCTGATATTTAATTAGTGTCACTTGTATTGATATTTTAACGTGTTTCATAAGCATAATTGAAAATTTTTCTACTCCGAGATAATAGGGGTGGTAAGTTTTGAAATGAACACATGACAAATGACAACAAACGGTAAATTGACACCCTGTATATTGATCTATATCTGTTGAAAAACGAATCAATATAATACTTTCTTACCTGCTTTCTTGAGTAATGTAGGCAGTGCATATTGCTACTAGAAACTTTAGGGCCTTTAGTTATCCAGGGTTTTTTTTTCTTATTTTTCAAAGTCTCTATTAGAAAATATGTGCTGAAACAGTTTGCAAGAATTGTATTGAAAGTATGTATGTAGCGGATTTATTGAAAGCAAAAGATCCGCCCAATTAATTGCTGGGCTACTTTGTACAAATATTCTGCTGGTATCGATGATATTCCAATTTTTCTCTAAGGCACATTTCTCATTTGGTCTGCTCACCATTAATACATACTCGAAGGGGGAACCGCATTGGAATTATAATATATAAGCATGTGGAATGTGGAATTCCAGATTCTGTCATTATTGAGTTAATTGCTGCAGAACTCGCTCCGCTAGTCCCTCAGAGGTTCAAAAATGAGTAGAACTCAGTTCACTTATGAAACGTACTTCTTATTCATCAGTTCAAAATGTTATTCATTTTCAGGTCAGAATTTTTCTTATCAATGAGTAAATTACTCACAAACCTCAATTTACGTATGAAATTTACTTATTAGTTCAATAACTCATTCATTTTTGATGCAGAATTTTCACTCATTAATTCAAAAACTCACTAATTTTCAGGTCAGCACATTTTTACAGTTTTTTCATAGAACTTTAATTTGGAGCTTCAAATGCACTTCAAATTAACTTTTCCATATGGAAAAGACTTTGATTCATTATTCCTGAAAGTTTCAAGTCTGCATGTATTAATTTAAGAGAAAGCTCCCAAATTTAGGCTGTGGTCTGAATATAACCAGGGTTGTGGTTTCGCGGTCCAAAAGTAATCAAATCACTCTGGTTCCTGTAAAAGTGATTACTTTTGGACCTCGGTTTCCTGAAATCTGGTTAACCAAATGTCAAAATAGTTACCGGCCATCGGATATCGGTTCTGTTGGTTTTATCTGTAATTTCTGTCAATTATTTTTTATTTCATGTTCGCGTTCCTTAAGTAACCGGAATTTTCAGTAACCATCTGTCAACCGACTCGGTTACTTTGGTTAACGTTTGGTTATAGTCGGACCATAGCCTTAGTTTGAAGCTTCAAATCCACTTCAAATGAACTTTTCCACAAAAAGGAAACATGAATTCATAAACCCTGAAAGTTTTAAGTGACTGTGATCATTAGAATTACTTTGCACAAGTGATTATTGCAGATTTTAATAATTTTTCATGCATTAACGTAAGAAAAAGCTTCCAAATTAAGTTTGAAGCTTCAAATCAACTTCGAATTAATTTTTCCACAATTCATAAATCCTTAGAGTTTCAAGTGACTGTGATCATTAGAAGTATTTTGCATACTTAGGTGATTTTTACAGATTTTAATCATTTTTATATGCATTAACGTGAGAAAAAGCTTCCAAATTTGATTTGGAGCGTCAAATGAACATCAAATTAATTTTATTAAAAATTAAATTAAATGAATTCATTATTCTTGAAAGTTTCAAGTCACTGTGATCATTGGAAGTACTTTGCACAAGTGATTTTTGCATATTTTGATCATTTTTGCATGCATTAACTCATTAATTCAAAAACTACTCTTTTTTTATATCAGAACGACTAATTAATGAGTTAATAACTGTGTAACTCGCTACGCTCATCCCGCAGAGGTTCAAAAATGAGTGGAACTCAATTTACTCATGAAATGTACTTTCTACACATAAGTCCAAAATTTCATTCATCTCCAGTGGAATTCCAGTAGATTTCTGTAGGATCCCAGTAGGATTTTGTGGGATTTCAGTAGGATTCCGTAGAATTCCAGTTGGATTTTTCGGGATTCTGTTAAAAATGGAATTCTGGTGTATGTATTCTTCAAGGTGATTTACCTCATGCAAATTATACATACCTGTTTGCTGTTTGGCTTTGGGAGTTTTTCCGGAACAACTAAAAATCATGATTCTTCAAATTACAGGCCAGTCTCGTTTCTTTCCTCTCTGTCGAAAGTCTTTGAGAGAGTTATGTGCAATCGACTACTGGCATTTGTCATCCGGTGTGAGATTTTTAATGGCAATCAATTTGGTTTTCTCCCAGGGAAATCTTATGAAATGGCAATATTTCAGACAGTGACCGCGATTATCGAAGGCCTTGATGAGGGTGATAAGGTTGCTGGCCTTTATTTTTATCATTCGAAGGCTTTCGATATAATTGATTACGGGCTCTTGTCGAAATTGGAGAGGTATGGGATGAGGGGCATGGGTGGCAGGAAAAATCAATAAAAATCTCCAAAAATCAGGATAAATCACCTGTAAATCAATGTAAATAAATCCATTTGAAAATCGTTGAATTTCTGCCACAAAATATAACCGACTTGGCAACAAAGTCCCGAGGTAAAACATGAGATATGGTGAGAAAATGTAAATCAGTTTAGATCCCACACAAAATAACAAGAAATCACAAATAAATCCTATTAAATCTGCTTAAACTTTACTAAATCAGCAAAAAATATTTGTAAATTTCCATAAATCAGCTGAAAAGAATAAATCTGGGTAATATTAAATCTCATAAATCAGTAAAAATCTTGAGGTGATTTTAAATCAGTGTATGTACAAATTTCACACAGTGAACTGTAAAAACATCAAGTATGTCTATTAATTTTAGTTTGAAGCCGAATTCCGAAGATTCTCCCTAGAACGCAACGCCCAAGCCAAATTCGATGAGTTCAAGTCCCTATTGGAACGACTACATAAACTTAAGGACCTAGCCTTTTTAATATCCTACATAGACCCCAGTGACCAGGATTTGTTGCCGATTAATAACGATGACAATTTGAGGAGGGCCCTTGTTAACGCCAAACCTTTATTGAGAGTCATTATACAGAGAAAAGGTAATAATTTGTTTTTATACTGATAAAAAATCTATTTAATGTTATTTAATGAGGGGTTTTATCAAAATTCAATATTTGCTATAGTAGGTGTTTTGTAACATGAATAGTGAATGGGTCTCGATGTAGGCGCCATTGTTTTTTTATTGCTTACAATCTGCTTGATAATCTGAACAATGAGTTATATTGTTTGTAACTCAATAGTTTATCACAGTCACAGTGCTTCGTATGTAATGAATCATATTTTAAATTATTAATTGGGACCAAATTTGATATTATTATGTGGGTTACATGTATTTTATTTTAATATATTTTTGAGCTTTTATTCCTCCACAGACAGTGTCTGGTTTCTTTTTAAATAGAATTACTTAAGTAAGTGTGCTTTTAAAATTCATGACACATTATATATGAATAATTATAATGTGTCATGCATAGTAATTAGGTCTAGATGACTTAATCGAGGATTTAATGAGCGATCGTAATGTTAGGAATCCTTTGTCCCTAATTTGTGAGTTCTGTTTTCAGTCAAGTTATTTGCTTCCTTGTTTTTATCAACTCTGGGACACAGATCTGATTCATTTATTCCTAGAATAAACCACAGCTGTTGGTAAAAAATATATTCATTAGATAAATACTTACAAACTTAGACTTTGTTCGCTTGAAAAACAGCTGAGACAGCTAGATAAAACTCAAATTATATCATTCATCGATCCCAACAAATTTTTCCATTTCCATTGTGCCAAGTTGAGCAGCATCTCTCAATGACATCTTGGATCTTATTATTTATCTTAGAAATGTTTCACAGACTTATGCTTCTTTATTTCAACTAATGTTTGAGAAATCGGGAAGGTCTGTCCCCCAAACTTACAGATTTTGCCCTTTCTGCTCTGGCAGAGGTCATCAATCAATCCTTCTTGAATGGAGCCTTTCCATGTTCTTTATTAAAAACTTGGCCCTCGACATACCAAGAATGTGGATACATTTGATCATCTGGATAAATGAAAAAGTCTGATTTGATTTGAATATAAACATGAATTATTTTTTAGGAGACAGCCTAGAAGAACTAAACGGTTATGGTACCATAAAGCCCAGGAACCTAATCTCTACAATCTTAGGAGGTACTCCAGCTAGACCCCGTACATTACCCATATCAAATCCACATGATTTTCGACAAGTCTCCGCCATCATCGATGTAGATATCGTCCCAGAAACGTGTCGGAGGGTGCGCTTGCTCAAACACGGTTCCGATAAGCCGTTGGGGTTTTACATAAGGGATGGGACCAGTGTAAAAGTTACTCAAAATGGGTTAGAGAAAATACCAGGAGTTTTTATCTCAAGACTCGTTCCGGGGGGTCTAGCGGAGTCCACCGGTCTGCTAGCTGTAAACGATGAGGTCCTAGAAGTAAATGGGATTGAAGTTGCTGGAAAAACTTTAGATCAGGTAAAAATGCTTCAAGATAAATATGTATTATCCTGGTGAACATCTTCTTTTTTGCATACACTCTTTATGTTTGAGGGCTTTCAACTGTAATGTGGAAGTCAAATTTATTTATTTATTTATTTGTTCAAATATTCTACAGAACAACAAATGGTACAGCATGACAATTCTATACATAACATACTGCGATTAAAACTCGATAATCATAAAGAATACTGCATACTATTACATTTTACATTAAATAAAAGCACAAGGGCTGTGCTTTACAGCCACACACACATAAAAAATTAAGAACAACACCAATGATCACAGGAAACGGTTCAATTTGTCTCTGAATGTTTGGGAAGTGCATTCGAAGTTAAAATCCATCGGGAGATATTCATTGAAATGAGCCATAATTCTGTTGACCACTGTATTTTTTCCTACATCAGTACGGCTATAGTTCAGATTGTCTAGTGGAATGAGCTGATATTTTGAAATTGAATAATGAAAGGAGCTCAGGGAAGTCAACAATACCACTTAGTATTTTATGTCCAAATGACATTGAAAGCCTTGTCCAACGACCCTCTAAAGAGTCGAGCCCTAACATTGCATTTCACTCAGAATGTGTAAGGTTATCTTTATCCACGTTCATTTTAAATAACAAGAAGTTAACAAACTTTGTCTGAACTCTTTCTAGCCTTTTGATGTGAGTTTTATAATATGGGGACCATACTGGGCAACAATATTCTAAGATACTTCTTATGACTGCATAATAAATAAATTTTAATGTCTCGATTTTTTTGAACTCCCAGCACTGCCCCATTACAAATCCTAATAACTTGAAAGCTCGGGCTATAACATTATTTGAAATGGGCCACTTTCACATTTTTCAAAAACATTTTTAAATTATTCTTTTAGTCATTCCAATACTATCTGTATACTTTTTTTCCAAAAAAAAAAACGTTTATTTTTGAAAAAAAAATTAATTAAAAATCGAATTTTTAAACTGGCGCGAAAACGCGAACTTGGTTTGTGACGTCACACACCAGAAAATCAACAAAAATGCGAGGATGCCAAATTTCTCATTAGTAAATCATCACACATTTCTCTAGCTAGAAACTATTTTCGTCATTTACTACATTATAAAAAAATAAAGGATAGGTCAAATCAAATCAAATCAAAATAAGCTTTATTGTCCAAAAAATACCATTGTTTTCCATTGACAAAGCAAAATTCTTATTACTAATTAATTCTAAGTAAATTAAGTCAAATTTTTACCACAATTATGAACCTTAAAAAAGACAAAAATCACAAATCAAATCACTAGTTCAAACTATAAACTTATGGTGCAAATTAGGTTAATAAACATAAATAAGAACTTTACGAGAAAAAAAAAACAGAATAAATATAAATAAATAAAATTTAACTTTTTAGTCGTCAGTATAAAAATAAAATAAAAAACAAACGATATAAAAAACAAACAACAAAGAGAAAAACATCTATGTGGTAAAAGTAAAAAACAAACTATACTTCCAAAAACTTTTTTGAAAATTCAAATTTTTTTTGACTGTTTTGTGAAGGGAAGGAGGCCAAGACGCACTCAGCGCATTGTATTCTATAACTCAACATGTACCAAAACCCATAAAAATTATACCCTATTTTCCAATTCGATCCTCTACCTAACACACCTGATCATAAAATTCCTTAAGACTATTATAAAAAGCTTTAGTGACTAGATGTTGCCTGACTAATGAGCGAAATATATTGTATCTGTTACAGTTCTTTATTTGTTGAGGTAGATGATTAAACATTTTTATACTTTCGTATATAACTGAATTTTTTGTAAGAGTAAATCTAGGTACTGGCAAAGGCAAATTATCCTGACGCAGGTTATAGTTAGTTGTTTGAACGAAACCAGAGAATTTTTTAAAAATGAGACTCACAGATTCTAAAATAAAAAGAGAGGGCACAGTCAAAATTTCTTCCTGCACAAACAATGGTCTGCATGATTCTCTACAGCTTTTTTTACAAAGGTAACGAATCACTCTTTTTTGCAGAACAAACCCTGCTTGAAGTGACTTTTGGGTTGAGTCACCCCAGAAAGCTATGCCATATCTTATATGTGACTCCAATAAAGAAAAGTATGCTATTTTGGCATTTGCTTTGCCAAGTTCATGTAGGTACCACAGTTCGGATAATGTAGCATGCACTAGCCAGTTTGCGATTTAGGCAGTCAATATGATTTTCAAATTTAAGAAGTTCATCAATATGGAGTCCTAAGTATTTGACAGTTGGCTTATTCTCTACAGTTTCATCCTGCAGCTTAATGTCTGTTACACTGCACTTGAATGTTAGAATATTGGTTTTTTGACTGTTAAAGCACAGTTTATTTGAATCGCACCATTTCTTTATTTCCAGTAGATCAGCTTCGATAGTAGATTTAAATTGGACTAAACTCTGGATTGTATTTTTTGAAGTCCACAGCCCGTTAGTATCGTCAGCAAAAGCTGACAGCTTTCCTGAAATCGGCAACGAGAGAAGATCATTGATGTAAATTAGGAATAATACTGGTCCTAGGACGGATCCCTGAGGAACTCCCTGCACTATCCTCTCCCTTTCAGAATAAACCCCATTAACATGCACAATTTGCTGCCTTTCTGAAAGCATTGAGCTAAACCAGTTTAACGAAGTTCCTTGGATGCCATAATGATGAAGTTTCTGCAGCAGTATTCTGTGATCCACACAGTCAAATGCTTTTGAAAAATCACAGAACACTGCCGCAGCGACCTCTCTATCGTTTAGATTTAGATAAAGTTTTTCTAAGAACGCAAAGATGGCATCATTTGTACTCCTTGAACTCTGGAAGCCTAACTGGTTTTTATTTAAAATGTTGTGACAGTTTAGATAGTACATTAGTTGCTCCTTAACGATCTTCTCCATCACTTTGGATATCGTACTGAGTAAAGAAATGGGGCGATAGTTTGATGGATTATCACTGTTTCCTCCTTTAAAGATGGGTATGACTACTGCAGTCTTCAGACAGTCAGGGAAAATTCCTATAGTAAGGAACCAGTTTATTGAATCTGCAAGAGCTTCCAAGGCATTTCCTGGCAATTTTTTAATAATTTTGATTGAGATGTTATCCACCCCAGAAGTATTTTGTTTTTTAATCATATTGCAAATCTTTATAATTTCCCGTTTGTTTGTCATACTGAACTGAAATTTTACTGCATGTAATATCTGTGGCAAATAAGTTACAGGATCGATATTAGAAGACAAGTTTTGAGTCAATTTTTGAGCAATTGAAGTATAGAATGAATTTAGCTCTTGAGGATGAATATCAATTAAATTCTCTGATTTTGTCTTTTTACCCCTAATTTCGTTAATAATCCCCCAATATTCCTTACTCTTGTTTTCAGCCCTATTTATTCTTTTCTCGTATTGAAGCCTTTTTGCCTCCCGAATAAGTTGCCGGTAAATTTTCCGATATTTATTAAAGTAGTCTAAGAAACCTTGACAGTTGGTGAATTTCCTGATCGTATGTAGACTTCTTAAATTTTTAGCTGAAACCTTAAGTCCTTTAGTTAGCCAGACTTTGGTAGTTTTAGTTTTGATTTTTCTTAAAGGAAAACTCTTGCCAAATATCGATGTTACTTTACTTTGGAAAGATTCTATAGGATCATCTGAATTCAGGCAGTCATTCCAATATTCTCCTTCGGCTAAATTTTCAAATTTCTTAAAGTTTTTCCTACTGAAAATCCTTCGCTTTGCAGATACTTTTTTTTTGTTATTAATAACCGTTAGATTAGCTAGCAAAGCTTCGTGATCAGATAAGCCCGACGGTATGACTTTACAGTGCAACTCATCCACACTGAAGTTGCTACACACATAGTCGATGGTTGTAGATGACTGATTAGTAATCCGTGTTGGCTCATTTACGAAGACTTTAAGATTAAAAGAGTGTAGTAGATTAACAAGTGCTTTTGTGTCTCGAGATTCAATGTCTGTGCCAGAATAATTTTTGAAGACAATGGAAATTTATGTAAAAGAAATTCAAGATTATGCAGGAAAAGTTTTGAATCTCCAGCTGGAGGTCTGTATACGCAAACAAGGTAGATATTTAGACCTTGTAATAAAAAAAAATATGCAACCTAGTGAAAACTCAAAATGATTCTCTATGATTAAATCGTTATGTTGGTCAATGGGTTGTATGATATTGGCTTCTAGAAAATTGCAGTGAGCCATAATTACTGTACCTTCATACCCCTTTTCTCTACAATATATTGACACGGTTCTATAGTTTGGAATATAGCAAAATTCAGCCTCTGTTAGCCAGTGTTCTGTTAGAAAAATAAATGTAGGCATATGTGAGTTCTCCAACAAAACAAAGAGTTCGTCAGATTTATTTCGCAAAGATTGTATATTCAATAAAAATAATGAAAGTTCCGCAGTTTTAGTTATTTTTAGGTTTCCACATTTATTAACACTTGTGTCGTCGTCATCTACAGTAAAAAATGATTCTGATGTCCGACGATAATATTTTCCATATTATTGATATCCTTAAAAATAAATGAATCAATGTGCTGAGCTATCTTAATTTTTGCCACATTTTTCAACACCAAGGCCCTATTAAAGAAGAAGCTAGAATCTAAAAAAGAATTAATATTTATAAAACTGACAACTTTGTGAAGCCGCTCATACACCGAGATATTAATGCTATCTATAAACTTGTTTAGCACTACTCTGTTGCCCCAGAGAGGTATTGATAAAAACATTATATTTGTATGTTGCCCTACATCTAATAGAAGTTCAAATAAACTATTACTAATATGCCTACCCTGTAGTGCGTCCTGTAAGCCACCAGTGATTATGACAAAGTCCTTTTTTGTGAATTGGTTTGACAATATATCGAGATCCTTTATAATCTCCTCCAATTTGGCATTGTGTTTCGCAAACGTCATCACGTTATATTCCTTGCTTTTAGATACTTTGAGGTGCTTGTAAAGGTCAACAACTGAACT